GTTCTGATCGCTCAGCCTTAGAGAAACCTTTGGCTTTGGGCCTATTTACCTATTGAGATGTCACCTTGGCTCCTCTGGATGAGATTTATGGGCGCTGGGTTCTTTGTTCTATGTATCTGTAAATATTTTAGGTCTGCAGAATTTGTACAGAACAAGATCTCCTTTGAGCAAGGTAGAGAAATGGGGGGGGGGGAGAACAGTGGGCCCCTGCAGCAAGATGCTTCAGTTAACCCTTCTTCCTTCATTCTTTTTTGGGCATCATCATTCAGCCGCAGCTCCCTGACCCTCAGAAATATAGTGAGGCTAGAAGGATAAGTTATAACTCATGCATGTGGTACGGTGGTCTCAGTTCTCTCCAGGCCCAGCAGAGTCTCAGTCTCCTGTGGCAGGTAGGCAGCATACAGGGGAGGAGAAAAGGTGAGGGGAGATGAGGAGAGACTCCTGGGGCAACCAGTTCTCTCTCCCTTTCCTCTTCTCTGGTTCTCCAAAATTTGTCCTTGAGTTTTATAGTGTTCAGAGGAGGTTTTATGTGGTTTCTTGGCACATAGCCAGTTCAGATGTCCAAAAAGATATGATAACCTTAAACAATGGCAGGATCTTCTGGCAGGAAAAGTCCCATGGGAGGTCTTGGTGAGAACTTCTGGCAGAAAGCTGACAGAGAATTTTTGGTAGGAAGTTTTTGACAGGCAGAACAATGGTGAAACATAGTTTTTGGCATTTCTATATTATCTGTGTGTTACACAAGGTCTCTGCCCAACGTGGGTCCTCCCATGGGTGATGAAGTTGAAGAAGAAGACGAAGCTCTTCCCACAGTCCGGACACTCGTCACGGGTCCATTGGTGTCTGGTCAAGGCAGAGCTCTGGGTGAAGCTCTTCCCACCCTTGGGACACTTTTAGGGCCTCTCCCTGGTGGTTGACAATGTGGGAGCTGCAGTTGAAGCCCTTCTCACAGTTGGTGCAGTGGAAGGGCCTCTCCCTCATGTGCATGCACTGATGCAGGAGTTCTGAACTGCTCTGAAACCTTTACCCACACTCAGGACACTCATAGGGCCATTCCCTGGCGTGAATGTGCTGGTGGCAGTTCAGGTGGGGGCTCTGGCTGAATCTCTTCTGGTATTCCAAGCATTTGTAGGGCTTCTGTCTGGTGTGAAGCTACTCATGGACCACCAGGTCGGAGCTCCAGCTCAAGCTCCAGCCGCCTTCTCAGCTCAGGGGTGGGTCTTTCCTCCTCAGATCACCGTGGGCTGGGTTTGGAGCTCCTCCTCCTGGGGGATCTCTGTGGCTTTTCCTCCACGTTGATTTCCTGTGCCATGGGCAGCTGGGTTGTTCTGTAGCTGGGGGGGCGATGCTCTGCTGGAAGATGCAGGGCAGGATTAAGAAGAAAGCCATGGACAGTGGGAGCTGGGAGAAGCTCTTTGCTTTGAGAGCCAAAAGCCTTCTCACAAGACCTGTTAACATTTAGCTATGTTTGATTGTCCTATCTCCTTCAGCAAGATATGGAAAGACTTTGTGGTGATGCTGTCAGACAATGTGGAAGCCCCTTTGTTCTCTCCCCCCATGTGGCTCCTCGCTACAGGAAAATATTAACCACTTTGTGTAATTGTAACAGAGAATTGTGTAATTGTCTAATTAGCATAATCCATCCCCTAGTTAGCATATCCTGCCCACTGGACCCTTATATTGCAAAGTGTGTGTTCAATAAAGATTCTGGCTTGTACCCCCAAAACTGGGACTGATTAGTTTTGACCTTCATAGAGGGGTGGATCTAACCATGGACAGTGTCTCACAGGTTATCCATGACTGTGAGACATGTGTTGCCATCAAGCAGGTCAAGCGGGTGAAACCTCTGTGGTATGGTGGACGGTGGTTGAAATACAGGTATGGGGAAGCCTGGCAAGTTGACTACATCACACTTCCCTAAACCTGGCAAGGCATGCACTACATGCTGACCATGGTAAAAACCACCACTGGATGGCTGGAGACATACCCTGTGCCTCACGTCACTGCCTGGAATACCATCCTGGGCCTTGAAAAGCAAGTCCTGTGGCGACACGGCACCCCAGAGAGAACTGAGTCTGACAGTGGGACCCATTTCAGGAATGGCCTCATAGACACCTGGGCCAGAGAGCACAGCATTGAGTGGGTGTATCACATCCCCTACCATGCACCAGCTGCCGGAAAAGTTGAGTGGTGCAATGGACTCCTGAAAACCACCTTGAAGGCACTGGGTGGAGGGACTTTCAAACATTGGGAGCTGCATTTAGCAAAGGCCA